TGGCAACTCAAATCGCCAACCTGGATATTGAGTCTCTACGCAGCCTCTGGAGCTTAGGCTCTCGCTGACACATTCCGGCTGGAAACGAACACAACGAGACTCGCAACAACCTTAGTGCGAAAAGGCCTGCTTGCTTGAAGGAAGCATGCGAATTCTGGTGGTCTCATCGTGCATCGGAGATGGCGACAATCGCTGCTCTTGGTAACCATCGAAAGTTATTCCGTCTGATGCGCGAAACAGGCAGCAGAACACCTGATATTAATGAGAGTGGACAGCCGATTCACAGCTTGTCAAAACGCTTGGGGCGTTGGGCCGAATACTTTGCAAAGCAGCTCAATCGGTCAGATTTGCCAGTTTCTCCATCGGCCAGTGATCGCTTTACTCTTTGGGTCGTCCCCTTGGATCCGACTTCACGCGCGGAAGTCGAACTTGAGATCTGGCTGTTGAAATTGAACAAGGTCGTAGGAGCAGATAGGCTTCTCCCAACCCTCTTCAGATTCGAGGGACCTGCTTTGTGGGTGATTAGCACAATTTACTGGTGAAAATGTCGAAGCAGGAAACTGTCCCAACAGACTGGAGCCCCTCCGTTTTAGTTCCAGTTTTCAATAGAGACTCATGTTCTCGGACTGCAGCAATCCTAAAGGGTTCGGTCTTGTTTCGATTGCCTCTAGTTTACTTTTCTCTGTCATTCTTCATAAACTTGTTGGCACTGGCGTGAGTCAGATTCGCAAGGAGCAAATCAGGTCTCGTCGAAGTCGCAGCTGTATTGATATCTTCAGATTGCGTCAATTTTCGGAACACCAGCATATTTAATGGCCACCCACCGTAGTTGTATTCTTTGATATCGAGTGGCCTTCGATTCGGTTGATTGATGCGCTCTTTGAGACCTTGAGGAAAGATTTCCACGGAAAATACGCAAAAATTATCAGAGCGCTCTACGTGCGTAGTTCGTGCTGAGTAAGTGCTTACGGCATGCTGTTGCTACCCTTCAGTATCTCCAGTGATATGAAACAGTGATGCTCGCTGTCACCTTTCCTCCATAAGCAAAGTCATGGAAACTAAATTCACTAGATAAGATCTAAATGGTATGGGGCTGCCCCCATGTGATTGACTTCTTGACTTGGAGTACGCCAACAACATCGCCCTTATATCTGACAGTTCCCAAACGTGCCAGTCAGCACTGGACTCGTTAGCACAGGTTGTCAGTCGTTTCTGGCTATGCTTTGCATCCTCCAAGTTTGGAGGGGACCCACCCCTGCACTGACTCTTGGTGGAGGTCAGCTAGAAATTGTCCAAAAATTCAAGTACCTTGATAGCTATATTAGCACCGCCTGAATAGAAGATGTGATCGCAAGCTCTGTAGCAAAATTTCGAGGCGCTTTTGCCAATCTGCGTCATCTGTGGTGCCAGTGCGGCAATCCTGTCCTATTAAAGGACAGTTTTTACAGTGCAGCCGCCCGTTTAACCCTTGCGTACGGTCGCGAAACTTGGTCTATTATATTTATAGACCTAAAGAGGCTTGTTACGTTCGACAATCAATGTCTTCGCAGTTTGGCTCATCTCTGTTGAGAAGACTATGTGAGCAATGAGCGTGTTCGACGTCGTGTATTTATTGCAGGAAAAGCGAGTGAACTACTTAGCATCAATATAAGTCGCGTTAGACTCCGATAGCTGCACCGCGTGCCTGCACACTGTACCCGCTATGTGGTTTGCTTGTGCGCCGGGGTGTGGATTGAAAACGAGGGCGAGCAATCTATGACTTGGTCAAGAGCTGAATGGCCCTCACGTCGGAGTTGCCGTCGGTTGGTGCATACAATTGTTACTGTTAGCTTTTTTGTTTTCTGTAATGTTCCGCATCTTCTTTTTCCATATATTTGTATTGCGGCACAGTAATTAAAATGCCTCTCACTTTCAGCTAATGTGTAGTGAGTATGGTGATGATGAGGTTGCCGGTTCGGAGCCAGATGTGAGGGGCTTCTGTTAGTGGCCTCTCTTAACAGTATGGATTCTGTGTCAGCTCAATTCAGTCAGTTGATGAACTATGATCCGAGGTGCGGTGGATCCAGTTACTGATTCACATTGCAAGGACCTCAATAATTAGCAACGGCAAGATATTAAGGCTGGGTGCAAATAGGATGTCAATAAAACGGAATAAAGATGGATTGCATCAGACTAATCAGAATGAAACGGAAATTAACAGCTAGGAGCCGAGTGCAGGATCGCCACTGACTGAAATGGTCTCCAACCATTGGTATGGATCATCCCGGGGCCCCCATTCACAAAGGCGGTATGCACCAGCCTAACCATGCCTCTCAGTCAATGTCTTCATACTTGTATGCGACCTCATGGACTGACCACCTCGCGCTTTCGTCTAACTTGGTGCAGTCACGGCGTATAATGCACGCCAAAGAAGCCGATCAACGGGCATACGGAGGACATTAACTAGCCAATGTAAGCGATTAGGATTCAGTAAACAATCGAGGCACAAGAAAGCTTCTTGCCATGAACCAAATGGTGGTCCTCAGCATTGCTCTCGCGGTCTTCCAACCAGACGTGAGCAATACTCCGCAAACACCGATGGTCAAACACAGCCAAGCGCTTACTGTCTTCACTGCGAACTGGCCAGGTCTCTAAGCTATACAGTAACATTGGTCTCCTCGTATCGTTATGCATCCTGCCTTCCACTGACAGGCTGATATTCCGACGTCCTCATGGATGCTTGAACCTTTGAAAAGTTCCACACTCCTTGTTGCTACGCGAAGTAACCTCAGTGATGTGACTACCAGAGGTGACACCGCTACCGAGGTAAGTGAACCGATCCACCACTTCCAGTGGCTGTTCGGTGATAGCTAAAATTGGAAGTTTGTCGGTCCGGTTCTGCAACAGTACTTTGTACCTTGAAGGTGCAGAGCACATGCCGAAGCGTGCAGCGCCACGTGTCAGTCTGTGCCGTAGTGTTTGCACATCCACTTGCGTCAGACCCAAGGAGAGTTATGTCGTCCGCCTACTCCAGGTTTTTCACTCTCTCATTTGACAGAACTTCCACTCCAGAATAGTCTGAGAAAACCGAGTCCCTCATAATCATTTGTATCACAGAGTTGTAGAAGAGATAATATATTGGTTAACCCTGGCGAACTCCATTTGTTGTGGGGAGTTCCGAAGACTCCAGTAGACCCTTACACTGCGACAGGAATTACGGTTGTGCGATTACATAATGGAGAAGAATTTAGCGCACACGCTGTTCATAGATAGACAGTACCATAAGCTGGCGCGGTTATCAGAGTCGAAGGCGGTTTTCAAGTCAAGGAAAACCACCATGATCGGTCGTCCGTATGTGTATCTGCTCTAAAACTTGTCGAAGAGTAGATATGTAGTAATAATCTGTGCGTGACGTGCCTTGTTCTGCATGATCGAATTGTTACAATTGTTTCGTATAGTGTTACCAACATATTCCATTTGTCAGGGAGAAATAATAGTACTTTTTTAACCTCTAGAGTTTTGCAGTTCAAAGCCTTGTTTGGGCACAAAATACATCATAGCGTCCTAATGGGGATTTCCTTGTACGGACGGAACCGAGTTTTCATTTCCTTGGGCAAAGGATGAGACGCAATTTTGGTGATAGGAAAAAGATTGAGACTGAAATCATACCATTTAAACAACGCATCTGATGTAGGTAACTCATTTAATATACATTGTTGCGTTGTGAAAAGATTCATGAAAGACGGAGACGAAACCTAGCCTGGCTTCAGTGATTTGTTTTTCACAGGGATAAGTAAGTCGTTGTAGAATGATACCCGTAAGAATTTCGGGAACCTTAAAAACAAGGCCAGTGATCGGATGATTTTCGCACAACCTACGCTCACTCTGGGTACTGTGTCAACAACTTTCTGACTTTTGTGCAAGTAATTTTACTTTACGCAGGTCGCCTTACGACTGGACTAGTTTGGAGACCGGCCGATGTTATTGCCAATAAACTGACGGTTGATGCGGTTAACGAAGTCTGGTACAGTTCTGTGCAGTCAGTGAAGATCCTCACCATTCATTACGAAGTGGCTGGACCTATATTAGAGTGTTGCCTTTCCCTTGTTTCTGCGCTTTTTTGTCATTGTTTTCCTCTTGCATTGACGAGCGTTTATTTTGTATATATATATTTTTGCAACAGTCTATGAATAGACATTGCACCATCGGAAACCATGGAACTCAAAACAAGGTACAAAAATAGTAAAAGAAAACACAACACAACACAACAATGTCCACGGTTTCGTCAGAGGGCGAAATACTACCCGGTTGCCCAAGCCGAAGTAGGGTGACTTAGGGGACACCACCCCGAGCCTTTGGCTGAATAGCCTGTCCGCAAAGCAGCGGAGCGAATTCAGGGAATCGCGCCCATTGGGAGCCGGTGACTGATTGATCAGTTCATACGCCTTTCGTTTGTTCCTTTGCCAAACAGGGGCCCAATGCTCCCCGAAATTACAGCATCAACTTGCTGGAATACAATGCTTCGCCAGGATGAAGCAAGGGGCAGTGACTTTATTTAGTGGCGAGTCACGTCCGCCACGTCACAGTGTTGTTAAACGGACATATGTGGCTTTTTATAGGGAGAACGCTTGCCAGGCGAAAACCCACCACGTCCTGGAACACTGCCGCCGAACCATTTGCTGGAACGGGAAAATCCCGAACCACCCAGCTGGCACCACGAGGAGGTTGTTCGGCAAGCCAGCCAGGAGGTTGTTCGGCAAGCCAGCCGAATTCAGTTACTTTACCGGCCTATCTAGTTCACAGAGTCGTCCCATCTGTTCTAACGTACTCAGCTATGAGGTTGCGTTCACACCGCCAGGCTCTTGGATGTGGTGCAACCTACACGTCACCAGTTGGACAGTCTGGTTCTGCAAAACCAGCTCTCACAAGAAGATCGACCCTGTTAGCTAATTGTAGTCATAGTGGGTACATAAACTTTTGATAGATGTGGTATCTGTTTATCGGTTACTTTCCTTTTGCAGCACTCCCATCAGTGTTTTTATCTGTTTTGCGTTCAATACCTGGAGGCTCCAATTTACTTGTCTATTGATCTACAATGTTTGACGTCACTATTAAAACATTAGATGGGCGAGATTCTCTCTTGACGGTGGATGACGAAGTATGTTTTCGCTCTTTCTGTAACCTCTTTTGCCAGATTAAAGTGGAAGAATTCAAAAGTGTGATAGAATCGAAGCTAGTGAGTTTTGCGATTTTCATCTCGTCATACTGCTTTTCTTAAGGATATTCCAGTAGCCCAACAGCGCCTCATATTTCAGGGTCGCGTTCTACCAGACAACACTCGTTTGATCGATTGTGGTAAGTAGGATTTTTTTTATTGTAACAACGGCTTGTTCAACACTTCGATCTGTCTGTTCTTTTATCCACAGATGGCCTTTGACTTAACACACTTTACTTCACTAGTGCATCTACAACAGAATAGCACATGAAGTTTTCATCATCATAATATCATTTAGAGGATTCTGGCATTCATAGTGAAAGCCCAAGCTCACGAGAATTCACTCGACAATGTGGTCTAAGCAATTTGAAATAATTTGGTATAATTTTGCGTCGCGGTCCACTGAGTTCGCTGATTGCATTGACTGAACTTTGAGGCTTTATTATGACCTTAGCGACAATCGTTGCCCTCCCGATTGGTTATGGACTTTGTTAATTCCTTTTGGCTTCTTCCTTAATATATGTTTTGGCTATCAATGTGACTGCCAATTGCATCGATTATAGACTTCGTTCTCTCCAGAAAAACCACCTGGAAGCCCGTCCACATCTTTTTCCACGTGAATATACTTATTACGGTCCGTTTTTTGAGCTATACTACTTTATCAGTCATCTCCTTACTACTCTTTATGCATACGACTGGAACCACAGACCACAGCGATTGCATTTTGCTAGTACTATTTTTAGCTAATATTTTAGTCTTTTAGTCCATTCGCCCAAACTCTGAAGCCAATACTTTACTTCTCGAGTTGATTGCTATCACTTTTCATCTCTGACTTCTTCAGGTGTAAAAGATAAAGTTGTCCACTTAGTTCCTCGGCCACCCCCTGTTCAAGACGATGGCCAGTCGACACCCTCGTCTACTGGCGTCACAACTTCTACTTCCACCTTCGGACAACCTCTGGGGGGATGGGATATGCGCCAAACCATCCAGGATATCACCGCTGGTATCTTCAGTGGGTTGGGGGAGTTTGGGCGAAGCATCCAGTAGGTTGTTACCAATCCTGATGGCATCAACGACAGTGCTTTATGTTGCTCAGAAATGAGCAAGATACTTTGATAATATTCCATTTTCTGTGCTGGTTTGTCCCCTTCAAGCTGTACTCGTTGTTGTGTTGATAACCTAATTCCCTTTTGTTCAATGGTTTGCCTCCACCCGTCTCCAACCAAGCAGCTATGCTTCAAAAGCTACAGTGTCTACGCGACTGCAGGTTTATATTTCACGACTGTCGATGACCGTTCGTAACTAACTCCACCTCTGCATGTGACCGGCTTTGGATGCTCCCCACACGATTCGGCAGTCGCATTCCCAAATTGAGACCAAGTCTTCCGTCCGAATCCTCCTATCAAACGGAAAATGGAAACTGTTTCCGCTAGTTAATTATGATAAAAGGGAAACATCGGGGTTATCCAACATATTTTCTCTGCAATTTTGTAGTCGAAATGGTGATCCGCCTGATCTTGGTTTGAAGTAGTTGTTCTACCGAGTGCTTCACCGATTTCATTAAATTAGCCGAATACTGTATTGCGTTAGCAAGTACAGCTCCATCGGAATATAATCAAAAATGCCATAAAATGTATCCGCCACCTGTTGATACTCTAAGCGTTCTTCACTCTCTTAGGTAGCATTTAAAAATGTCTGTCTCACAGTATCATCTGGCTGACAAAGTTAAGGGGTCATTGCCAATGAGCAGTCGTTGTCCGAATCGAATGAGCACAGTCGATGTACGAGCACTTTCGAATTGACGGAAACTAGTATGACGCATTAAAATTTCAAACGGCATGTTGAAGTCACTCTATCCATCCGAGGTTGGAGATCGCCTGTTAATCGAATAGGCTCGCACCCTACGTTAACACGTGGCTTGCGAAGAGTGCGTGGTTTCTAAGCAGTCTCGTGTTAGATCCACTTTGGCACGTTATTCATTCAGTCTTTCTGAATCTGAGACTGAGACTGTATTTAAGAGCAAGTAGAAAGGTTTCTGTACAACTCTATCGAATTACGAAAAATCAAAATTTACTTGTGAATTATCAGCAGTTGTGTCTGGTCCGTTAATCGTTTATCCGTGTTTGGTTAGAAATTTGTACTAGCGTCATTTTTTCCGGACATACAATGTCTTCTTTTGGCACTGTATGTGCATCGTTTCACAAAAGCACAGGTTTCCAAAATAATCGTCGATACGGGTTTTAAAACACTTCACAGAATCGGCCTCTATTAACCCTTCTGGTAGTGTATTCCATAAGTTTACGATTCTTCGTTCGATACAAAGCTGATGTGATACTTTGTTCATGCTGGGGACCCTGAGTTTGTAACGATGTCCTCGGGTGTTACAGGGTTCTCGCAGGTGAAATATTGGCCGTAGTATGGGGAAGTGATTCAAGTGTAGTACTCGATGGGTCATAATAAGATCAATTCTTACTCGGCGATAGGATAGTGTGTAGAGTCCGAGCTTTTCACAACGTTTTTCATATGGAAGCTTTCGTAGACTTGGTATCATTCTAGTTGCGATGTGCTGTATTTTCTCCAGTTTTTCAGTTTCCCATTGGGTTATCGGATGGTAAGCTGGGGCACCGTATTCAAGGATTGGTCTAATGAGCGAGGTGAATAGACGAGGGACGGTTTCTTCGGACCATGTGGAGAAACTGCGTCGTAATGCCCAGAGCATACGAAGTCCCGCACGGTACAATTTCTCTGTATTTTCTAGTGATCTTAAATCATGTCGTGAGAGAACTCCTAAGTCTCTGACAGATGTGTTGGGATGGAGCAACTGGCCGTCCAAGGTATATGATCGAGTGGCTGGACGTCTGGTGATACTGATGAACTCCGACTTGCTTGCGTTAAGAGGGAGTTGCATTTCAGTGGACCACGTTGACAGTCGCTCTAAGTGATGCTGGAGGCGAGCGCAGTCGTCCTGGTTTTCAATGATCCTCCAGATTTTCAAATCATCTGCAAACAGGACACATGGTGACTGGAGCTGCTGCGGAAGATCGTTGATATGAATAAGAAATAATGCTGGCCCAAGTACAGTTCCTTGGGGCACGCCACTGGTCGATGGGAACCATTCTGTCAGATAGTCATTGACCTGTACTCTAAACCTTCGTCCCACAATAAACTCTTGTATCCACTGAAGTAACGTGCCACCGATTCCGTATGTCCTCAGTTTACGAAGGAGTACCTCGTGGTTCACTCTGTCAAACGCCTTACTAAAGTCGATGTACACCACGTCAACATCCTTCTGTTCATTGAGAGCTCGAACCCACTGGTGGTTTGCGTAGATCAAGTTGGTGATGCAGGATCGCCCTTTCGTAAAGCCGTGTTGCGCTGGCGTCAATACGTCCATCGATTCGAAGAACGATAGCAGACACTTTTTCACAACCTTCTCGAGAACTTTGGATAATACCGAAGTCAAACAGATCGGTCTATAGTTCTCTATTTTACTCGGATCACCACCCTTGGGAAGCGGTTTAACTATCGAGCATTTCCAGTCGTTCGGGACGGATCCTTCAGAGAGCGATCTATTGAAAAGGTTTGTCACAACTGGTGAGATGATAATCGATAGGGACTTGAGTATTAGTGGGTGAAGTCCGTCTGGCCCGGGGGGCTTTGCACCATTGAGGTTGACGAGTAGCTGATGTACTTCGACTGCATCACATTGTAGGCTGTCGAGCAAGACTTGCGCAACCTGTGCCGGTACTGGAACAGCCGCCGGTTTACTGGAAAATACAGTGAGGAAGTGCGTAGCCAGGCGTCCGCGCGCTCCGCGCTTGAAATGAGTGTCTTCCCGTCTAAGCTCTCTAAGACCGGTAGGTCGTCTCCAGGTTTCAGTTGACGTTTCAAGTAGGCAAATATTCGCTTGGGTGCAGTTGCGGCCGAGGATGCTAGCTCCTCTTCGAACTGCCGGCGTTTCTTGATCTTTGCGGCGTTACATAAGTTACGCTGTTTCTTGTACACCGCGTAATCTTCATCACAACCCGAGCTGATGTATCTATCCCAAAGTTTACGACATCGTCGCGCTAACTGTCTGTATTCCCTATCAAACCAATGCGGTTTGACAGGTCCGATTTTTGGATACTTAAGGGGAACGAACCGAGTACAGAGCGAGTTAAGCTTCCCCTTTATTAATGACCACCAGGCCTCAAGTGACGCATCATGTGGTAGTGTCCAATCAGTCTGACTTGCGGCTTGGACGAGTCCGTTGAAGTCCGTCTTCCAATAGTTGAATGTCGGCTTCTGTTGATTGTAATATGGTAACGACAGTTCTAAGCTTGCTACAATAGAGCAGTGGTCACTGTTCGCCAGAGGTTCGATGACTCTGATCTCTTTTAGCTTCTGCTCGCAGCTCGTAAACATTAGGTCCAGACAAGATGCCGAGTATGGAGTTACGCGCGTCGGTTGGATGACATGTTGCGTTGCCCCAATTTCAATAGTCATTTTAGCGAATTGAGCCTCAACGTTGCCATGACCGGGAAGAAGTCGAACATCTGGCCAAATTATCTTAGGTAAATTTAGATCTCCCATCAGTAAGAACTGAGGGCGGCTCATGTGCTTCTGTACATGTGGTATCCAATCGCAGCAACGGTTTACTGGGCTCCGGTAGATAACCCCACAATTAGTTCAGCTCGCCTGAGACGGATTGCGCACCACAGTTGCTCGCATAAACTATCCTCGCTCCGATAGGTACTGATAAGTTTGCCAGATAGTAAAGATTTTATGTACAACAGAACACCACCGTGAGCCTTTGATTTTCGGTCACATCGGAAACAAGAGTATCCTGACAACACGACTTCTTGGGGTATGATGTCGGAGTCCAACCATGTCTCTGCAAGTCCTAAAATGTCCGGCCGCTCCGAGACAGCGAAGCGGCACAGTTCGTCACGTTTGTTCATTAGGCTGCACACGTTGGCGAATGCGACACGGAGGTCCTGGGAGGTACTGCGGGATGTGCATGGAGGTTGAGCAACCGATTGATACGGGTTCGTACACCCTTCTTGATCACCCGAAAATTTACAACTTGTAAGTCAGTCTCACCTTCCTCTGTACGGCGTTTGAGCTCAATGACCGCAGTCTTCAAACGATCCCTGTCCTCGGGTTCCAAATCTCGGCGGATGTGAACTTTTATGCCTTTCAGCCTTGACAGACGAGACAGTATGAGCTGCGGCATATTAGGATTTGCAAAGGTGATCCTCAGAGGTCGACATGACTGGTTAGTTTTCTGGCCAAGTCGGATTACTTGTTTAATCGTCACACTGTCCTCGCCCACATCCAAGAGTCTATCGATGAGCCCCTGGAGGAACTCAACATCGTGATCATAACGTATCTGAGGGTTTTCATCTTTTGACTCCGGTACGTGGAAGACCATGAGATTATGACGCCTCAGCGAAATCAGTGATGAACCTGTGGGAGCAGAACTAGAGGCGCTTAACTGATTGGGTACTTGTTTATCCGCAGGTGACGTCTGAACTCGATTACGTGGGCCCTTGCGCTTTTGAGTGGTCCATGGATCAGAAGTTCACAGACAGGCTCTGAGAAATTCACGGACCGATCAGTGAAGCAGCATTTCGTAGCTTCTGAGTCTGAGTCTTCCATCGGTGGGAAACATTGAACCTGGGGTTCGGCCGGGGTCGAAGACGCTGGTGGTGGTGCAGATCGCGGAGTGACAATAGAAGGCGAGGTGACAGAGGTACTTTCACGAGGGCGTTTGATCCCACGTGGTGAACGGTTTGTTTCTATCTGAAAGAGATTTTTCCGTAGTTGTTTGCGGTCGCTGCATATTCTGATGTCTTGTACCGCGACATTTATCACATATAACTTGAAAAAAACCGATGTCGGATGTCGAGCGATTTTCGAAACACGTCAACGGATAAGCCAATGCACGAAATATGGAACAAAACATCACAGCTGAAGCATCGAAGTGCATGAGCCTTATTTCCCACAACTTTCGAACACGAACCACAAGTAGCTTGAGACGGCATCACAAGCTAGAGCAAAT